CCAGGCTGGCCTCGAACTCAGAAATCCGCCTGCCTCTGCCTCCCAAGTGCTGGGATTAAAGGCGTACGCCACCACTGCCCAGCTTCATTCACTTTTTATTTCCAACATTTATATTTGTTTTTCATCAAAAGCATGCATTTATTTGCTGAATTTTTCAGCCAATGTTAACTTTGTTTTTCAAGTCCCAAATTATTTTCTTACTTTGTCTGCTTGCATTCTCTTTGAAGTTTACAAGTAAATTTAATTTTCTTAATAGCACACTATGTAGCCACCAATCCCACTTAAACTTTATTTTTCTTTTTGATTTAAGATTAAAAATAATTATGTGTAGGTATTTGTGTGTGCCTGTGAGTGCAGGTGCCCAGAGTGAACAGACCGCCTGGAGCTGGAGTTACAAAGGACTGTGATATAAGTCCTGGGAATAGAACTCAGATCTTCTGGAAGAAAAGACGAGTGTTCTTAACTGCTCAACCAAATTCTCTACCTTAAACGTTTGAATTCTTTCTCCAGCATGCTACCCATTTCAGTATCTTGGATTTGGTAGTTGAAGTGTTACGCTCTTTTAAGGGATCATGATACATTGATTTCCTTTGCTCTGATCTGTGCACCTGTTAGGATGGATGTGATCTTCACTTGAGGACTCAATCCTCAGTATTCCTCAGCGAGGAGGGAACAGTTCAACCAACCACCAATGACATAAGTCAAACCAGATACAGAAATGTACTTTAGTTGAGTGGTGGTGGTACATACCTTTAATCTCAGCACTCAGAAGGCAGAGAGAAGTACATCTGAGTTTGAGACCAATCTACACTACGTATCTACCTCCAGGACTACAGAATAGAAAGACCCTGTCTCAAAAGACAAAAAATTAGGTAAAAGTAGAAACAAGATTTGAGTGAAAAAAAAGAAATTAGAATTTGTTGAGGTCTGGTCTGCTGCTAGGCTTTGTAATGCTAAATTCTGTACCTGAGGGTCCAGTTATGAGTAAATTTTCACTTTTATGAGGTTTTGTCATGCAAGTCTTGTTCCTTAATTTAAAACTGCTGGTTAGTAAAGATGCTTAAAGCCTATAGCTGGGCAGAAGAGAGGTAGGAGGGGCTTTGGTTCTCAGGCTTCAGGTCTGAGAAGAGAGAAGAAGAGATGGAAGGAAGAAGACTTAGGGTAGGTGCATCTTGATGGAATGTTTGTGAGGACTCGCCAGTTGGAGGAGGAGGCCCGGGAAGAACATGGCAAGTTATTTCTCAAGGTTATTGACCAGGAAGTAGACAAAATAGCATCACGAGAGTTGCTATCTGCCCAGCTCTAGTGCTGTTAAGGCTTATTATAAACATAAAGGTTTGGGTCTTTTATTTGGAAGCCAAGCGATCTAAGGCGGATTAGAAAAGCCCAGTTACTGTTTATTATAACAAGACTCTATAGTTGTAACAAACAGAAGACAAGAAAAGCATGTTAGGAAACAGGAGAGAAAATAGCAAAAATAAAATAAATGTACAATAAAGAAGAGATATGTGAACAAAATTAATAAACATAAGAGGAGTAAAAAAAGGCCCTAAACTTAAAAAAAAAAAAAAGATCAAATTGGAAATGGTATTACATGCCTAGAACCCCAGCCCTTGGCAGTAGTAGGATCAAGAATCAAGACCACCCTCAAGTTACATACAGAGTTTAAGACCAGTGGGAACTACACAACACCTTTCAAAGCAAAATAAAAACAGAGAGAGTACAGAAAAAGGGAAAACACAAGGGTTGTGGAAAATAAAAACACAAAAGTGTCTTGAAGTAGCTGCTTCTAGGTTTGGAATGTGGAGGCCAGAAGTCAGGAGAGACAGTTAAGTTAGAGATATTCCTGATTTATCCTGTTTTAACTGGTGCTGAGCCCAGAGTGTTCAAAGGTCAGCCCTTCAGCACAGTTAAAATTCCTCTTCTTTGTTGTACTAGGAAACTGCAGATTCTCACTCCACTCCAGACTCCCCAGATTGTATACTTTGGGGCTGCTGGTGTCTAAGCCCAGATATGCTTTCCAAGCGACTGAGATCTAGAACTGGGGGACCCATCTTAGTACCTTCTACCCTAGCTCAACATCAAGGCCCCTGCAGGAAGGAGGCACTGCATGGAGTTTCCTATACATCTGCAAAGCTGAGGAGTCATGAGCTTGTGCCACCTCTTACCCTCTTGTGCTTCTGCTTCCTTTCCTATGGAACTACACACACACACACACACACACACACACACACACACACACACACAC